CATGACTGATCAATCTTGTCAGGAAATTAGACATCTTTCATCAACTTTGTTAGTTTGTAAATACCGCTAGGGGGCATATTTCCCAGGTAAAATATTTCATGAAAATCACCTTTAAACCTATATTTAAAGGAAAAAATTTTTTGCATTTTTTTACTGTCCTTTATTAATATGATAAAAAATAATTTTCATGGATAAAATTTTCACGAATTTTTTTTAAATTGCGCCATTAGTAAAATTAAACCCCCGTAAAATATACCCCCTATACTGTATTGTACCATCCTCCTCATCTCTCTCTTTTATATCCCTTTTTTATTATTTTCTAATCATTTTATTTACATGTAATTATTTATTGTAGGCCTAATCTAGTTCCTAAAGTATATTATGCTCAGTTTGGTGCTCAGCAGTATTTAACTAACACAGTCATTAATACTGTTTTTTCTACATCAGTAAGCATGCATTCATGTAATACTATTCATTGTAGGCTTCGGCCAGTAATAATCATACTCCTCCACTAATTGTACTCTCTTCCCTCTCCTTTCCTTCTCTCTTCTCTCAACAGAACTCATCAATCCTTCCTATATATGCTGCACGGTTTGCTTTGAATCAAACATTTTTAGATTTAAGCCTCGTCAACAATACCATCATGGTAATGATAACACCTATCACTTATTTTTATGATCATCATTGTTATTGTTATTATTATTATCATCATTATTATTTATTATTATTATTATTATTATTATTATTATTATTATATAGTTTATATTTTATTTTTAGTTGTGTAAAGATCGTCCTTCAAAGATGACTACCGCTTGGCAAGTTGGTGTTCATTATGAAATACAGTGTTCTCTTGACCCCATTGCTCTTATGACTGATGGCTCTAGCCCTATATTCTATGATATATGTATCCTAAGAACTCAACTAGTTTTATGGCTTCACTCTAGAGGGTGTATATATTGAATTATTTATAATATGTTACATAAGATATCAAAGATGGTAATATGTTGGTGCCCATTCCAGTCTTAATTAGTGGTCATCGTGACAATAATGGTGTACTTGTTAATGAAGGTATGTGTAAATGAAAATGTATTTATACAATAATAATAATTATTATTATTACGTACACTATCTTATCAATGTAGTAATAGGCAGTATATAGTTAATACATGTAGGTTATAATTATTTACTTTCATTACATGTAGTGTTTATTGATTGTGTTTATTTTAGGTGATGATAGCTCTCAGTGGCAGTTTGTGAGACGTTTCTATACCCACCAGTCAGTCACTGGCACTCCATCATATCTTGAATACACTGAAATCAAGTAAGTCTGGAATTAGCTTAAACTTTAAATTCCTCAAAAATTAAATTTTAAATGAGAAATCAGCTCAGAGTTTATATATAACAAAAACATGTACCATATAACAGGATTTTGGAGGGAGCTAAATTTGGTGAACAGCTAAATTTTGGTGATTGCCGACTTTTAATTTAGTGAAATTTGTGGCCATATGCCATTGAGCATGCGCATAATGGCTCAAAATTGTGGATTTTTATTTTGGCAAATGGCTATCAAAACGTCAAATTTGCCAAATTTAGCTATCTCCAAAATTTCCTTCTATGTGGTATATGCATCAGGAAAGAATTATTAAATGGAGAATCCTTTCTTTTTTATTTTTGACGAAATTTGGCCACAGATGGTCTTTGACCTGATATTTTGAGCAACTTATAAAAATCAAATTTTGAACGGAATCGGTTCAAAGTTTGTAAACGACATAAGTTTAAGTACTTGTACAGGTACATGTATATGCATCAGAAAATGTAAAGAATTGAAACTACATACTATAACAGCCTGTATGATCTAATTGAAACTGGTTGCATACATCATAAGGCCATTCTTAGGCTAATATAATTTACATGTCTCATTGTCCATTTTCAGTATACAGTTAACCAGTCGTGGTCACATTCAGTCTCCTTATCTTAGACTGTCCTATCAGGCTATACCTACCAATGATGCACAAGTTAGCTCACTTCCATTCCTATTATATTTTATCATAATTATTCTTCCATTAATATTAATTTTAATCTTTCCTTAACATTAACTTTTTTTAAATATTAGGCTTCATTTGTTGTTAGATACAGTGGAGGAAATGATGCTTTTAACATTGCTTTATTAGTAAGTGCATGAATTCACCCTCTTCTTTTATGTACATGTGTACATGTCTATTCTCTCTTCTTGACAGGTAATAGCTAGTGTGTTTGTTATTCTAGGTGCAGTCTATGCTGGCTAGTTCATAATTGTATTAATAAATAATATTTAAAAATTTTATTTTTTTAGACTTTTATTTATCTGGTTGTAATCCTTTGTTCTGTGTTGTCCTTTTCATTTTTGTGCCTGGTCTCCATTTCCTCTATATTTTGGTTGTTATTCTACAAGCTACAAGTGACCCTTATATGGAAACAGACCTCTGTTAGGATATTCCTCATCGACTGGGAGAAACCAAAAGGGGCGGGACAGTCAAAGGACACACCCACAACCACGCCCACTGCATCAACTGTGAGCATCTGGAGGACATATTTTGTGGCAAATGAATGGAACAAAATTCAAACTCATCACAAATTGAATTCTTTTCTGTTTATATGTTGTCGCTGCTGAGAATTCATGTGACCACACCCACTGAGTGATACACTGCTCCTCAGCTCAGTCTTAAGGATTGGACTGGCTGTCATTGTCTACTTGTTGATTGTTTGGATCTCCTAGCCATTTTTGATAAAGTGCCCATACTGTGCTGTGGGTCTTTGGCCAAATTTCACCGAAAATGTAAAGGAGAGAATCCTCTATTTTTATAATTTTTCGAGATACATATACACATCATTATGTAAAAATTATAACTGTAGCAAATCTGATTATGTCTCTTGCAATGTTGATGTTACGGAGGAATTTGAAATGATCATATTATCTTTAAACTTGTCACCACCTGTGAATAAATTTATAACTAAATACAATGCATCACTTAATGTACTGTACAATAGATTATGCATACAGGCATACATGTACATATTGTCACGTGTGTGTATGTGAATTTTGAGTGTTGGGACGTTTACAAATAACATTATACCTTCATATGTCCCCATGGTATAGTTCTCATAAATGTTGTCAGTTAAGTTTTTCCTGCTCTTGCTGTCCCTCATTATCTACAGTATGCATGGTGCGTATCATGAGTGATTTTTAACTTAGTTTTACTGACTGAGTCATTTGATGTAAGGAATGTTATTTTGCTGAGCACTAAGGAGTTGGCTTGTTTCTTTCTCCACCATTTCCCATATGCTTCCCTAACCTATAAGTATGCATGCATGTACATGAACATGTGTATGCATGGTAAAATAGTAAGTAAACATTCAACCTTCTTTGGGATGATG